TTTCAAGGTATGTCTTTCTTTCTTTTTTTTTTATTTTTTTAAATTTATTTATGATAGTCACACACACACACACACACACACACAGAGAGAGAGAGAGAGAGAGAGAGAGAGAGAGAGAGGCAGAGGGAGAAGCAGGCTCCATGCACCAGGAGCCCAATGTGGGATTTGATCCCGGGTCTCCAGGATCTCACCCTGGGCCAAAGTCAGGCACTAAACCACTGCACCACCCAGGGATTCCTGTCTTGCTTTCTTTTTATTCAGTCTGATACTCTCTGAATTTTTATTTGAGTGTCTAGCTTATTTATATTTAGTGTAGGTATCCATATGTTTGTGATTACATCTCCCATCTTGCTCTTCATTTCTGATTTGTCTGCTGTTTTTCATGATTTTTCTTTCTTTTCCTGCCTCCTTTGCACTAGCAATTGTTTTAGTATCCCCTTTAATCATCACTACTGTTAGCTGTATCTTTTTATTTTATTTTGCTGTAGTTACTCTAGGATTTATAATATGCACCTTCAACTTACTGCATTCTACTTTCCGATAATATTATACCTCTTCCTATACAGCACAAAACCTTCCTAATAGCATATACTTCTGTCTCAATTCTCTTCCTTTTCTCTGTTGGTGTTACATAATTTACTTCTGCATATGTCATAAATCCCACAATAACTGTTATCAGTTTTACTTTAAACAGTCAGTTGTCTTTTATTATTTTTATTTATTATTTTGTTTTATTTCAGAGGTAGAGTTTAGTGATTCATCAGTTGCATATAACTCCCAGTGCTCATTACATCACATGCCCTTCTTAATGTCCATCACCCAGTTACGCCATCCCCCCCACCTCCCTTCCAGTGTATCTTTATCCATTCATCTGTCAATGGACATCTGGGCTCTTTCCATACTTTGGGTATTGTGGACATTGCTGCTACAAACATTGGGGTGCATGTATCCCTTAGAATCACTATACTTTTATCCTTTGGATAGATACCTAGTAGTGAATTTGGTGGGTCATAGGATAGCTCTATTTTGAACTTTTTGAGGAGCCTCCATACTGTTTTCCAGAGTGGCTGCACCAGTTCGCATTCCCACCAACAGTGTAAGTCCCCTTTCTCTGCGTCCTCGCCAACATCTGTTGTTTCCGGACTTGTTAATTTTAGCCATTCCAACTGGCATGAGGTGGTATCTCATTGTGGTTTTGATTTGTATTTCCCTGATGCTGAGTGATGTGGAGCATCTTTTCACGTGTCCATTGGCCATCTGTAGATCTTCCTTGGAGAGATGTCTGTTCATGTCTTCTGCCCATTTCTTGAAACAATGTCTTTTAAAAAATCATTCACTTCAGACCCAAGTGGTACCTTGTAATTACATTTCTACTCATTTACACCGTGCAGTTGGTCCTTGAACAATGTGAGGGTCTGTCTTCATCCCCACTGCTCCTCCTTGGTTGGCCTCTTGCTTGGACTCTGCCAGCAGCCTTCTATCAGGTGGCCCATTCCTGTCCATCCTGAGGTATGGCCAGCAAGGTGATCTTTATAAGATCCCATGCTGCCTTCCATGAGTCCACCCCCAGGTTCCTTCCCAGCCTGAAACAGTCTGCCTCTCCAGCCATCAGTCCATATACTGTCGGCACTGAGCTTCTTTCTGCATCCAGAACGCACCAGGCCCTTTCCCAAGCTGAGGCCTTTGCCTGGCTGCTCCTGAGCCTAGAATACCCTTTCTCTTTGTCTATCCAGCAAACCTAAGCCTGAGGGTTTCCTGCCCTATGAGCTCCCAGGATCCCCTAAAGTCAAGAGTCCTCTCTCCTGGGCTTCTTCAGCAGTTTCTGTCACTTTGCTTGTACAACACTTGGCTTGTGTTTGGTGGTTACTGCACTTATTTGAGTCTTATGGCTTATATCAGAGGTTTCATGTTAACGCAGAGTGGAAGTAATCTTGCAGGCAGGGAGGGTCTTTCCTTCTTGCTGACCCTCCCAACTCCCAAAAGGATGTAATGGAGGTCTCTGTAACCACAGCTCTCATGGTCATGCATCTGCATTTATATTTGCCTTCTTACCCCTGGGGCCTCCAACCTTCGGTGTGCCCTGAAATCCTGTACTAGTTGTGCACAGACGTATTCTATGGGTGTGTTAGGCATTAGGCAGTGTGGTAGGCAGAATAATGGTTTTCCACAGATGTGTACATCCTAATCCTTGGAACCCCCCCCCTTTTTTTGTGGTCGTTTGTTCTGGCAGCTATAGAAAACAAATGCAGGGATACCATGAACAATGCTGCATTTTTCCTGCTGTGGGTGTAGACTCTAACCCCTCGTGAGGTGTCATTTCACTGTGTTTGCATTCTTCCCTCCTCCAGAACGTGAACCCACAGAGGACAGAGCCCTGCATCACAGCTCAGAAGAGTGGAAAGACCAGGTTCACGGACTACTGGTGCTTTGTGATCCTTCTCATGGGACTCCCCTCTGAGCACCTCCTCCGTGGCAAGGGGCTTCCAGCTTTATTCAGGACACCCTGGTAGTGCCTAGTGCCTAGCTCAGGGCTGGGTCCTCGAGCGTGCCAGATGGAGATGGGGAAAGGCGGAGAGTGGCTCCATCTGGGGAGCGGGGACCTGTTGGATCCGTGCCATGGAGACATTCCTCCACCCAGCCCTCTCCCTGGTCTAGCCTCCCCGGGTCGGCCCCTCAGACACTGCATGCTCCCCTTAGAATGTGGCTCTGCAGATGCACAGCACAGCGAAGGCAGAGAAACAGGCAATCAGTGGGGCTGCTGGGCCTTAGAGCACACTTCTGACCCAAAGGAAGTGCACCTGGGGGTGAAGAACCTTGGGTTCGGCATGGTGGCAGAAGCTTTGGTTGCTCCTTCCCACTATACGTTATTCCTGTGCTCCACTGCCAGAGGAGGTGACCCACCTCTGGGTCTCAGTGCTGCAGGATGGGCCTGGCCTCCCACGGAGGGCTGCGACCACACCTGCACAACCACACCTCCCGGTGAGCTTCTCTGTGCGGCTCGGGCCAGCCTTTGCACAAATCCACTCTGCTTCCCAACCTGACTGCTACCTGTCACATCTCTCAGTAAGCCCAGATACCACTAAGTGGCTTGAGACCATGTGCAACAGGCTGTTGCATCTGTCTCTAAGGCTCCTGGCTTCTACAGAGAACCTATGTGCCAATGAAACCCCACCTTCCAAACAACCGTCAGCCTGGAATTTGGTGCCAGTTCTTGTAGAGTCAAAGATCAGATCCACCCCCCTTCGGATAACAGCTGGGGGAAACAACTGAAATTATGTCAAATCTGTGATGGCATCCTATGCAGCTGGTAAAAAGATAGTGTATGGAATGCTCCCTTTCAGCTATATTGTTGAGTGAAAGCAGAATGGAATGGAACCATGATTAAGAGGTAAAGGCAAAGAATAGGCATTTATTTTCCTTTATAATTTATATATTCCCTTAGCTCAGTATTGTTCTTCAAGAAAATTTGATGGAATGCACTGAAAGTTGGCAAATCTTTTCTGTGAAGGGCCAGATCGTAAATAATCTAGGCTTTGTGGGCCATAGGTCTCCATGACACCCCCTGGGCTCTGCTGCTGCAGTGGGAAAGCCAAACATACATGAGGAACGTGACTGTGCTCAGGTGACATTTTATTCACAGAAACAGGTGGCGGGTGAGATTCCTAGTAAACAAAAATGTTGAAGTTTTGAGAGGCAAATACTGCAAAGGTAGCTCAGAAACCATTGGCCAGTCATGCAGAACTTAGCTCACTGCGATGAATGAAGTCACCAGACATCCCAGCAACCGGGACTGTTAGAGTCCTCCCCTTTGGCAGAGGTGTCCAATGTCATCCCAAGAGAAAGTGGCTTTGGCGGGGGAAGGTTGGAGTATCAGGAAATCTTGGTTTGTAAGTAACTCAAAGGGGCCTGAACTCTAGGGCATATTTATCATAATAAGTGGCGTGGAGCAAAAAGCCTCATGGCTGGGTCATTCAGTGGCTCCAGGGTGTTATCCAGGACCTGGGTCTTTCCATACCCCCATCCTGTCCCCATCTGTGGACCAAATGGTGCTGTCTCCATCTGCTTCCTCGCCACCACAGGGCTGTGGCTGCCCCTCCGGGGGCACTCAGACTTGAAAAGACTCAGCAGAGAAAACCTTTCCAAAAGTCCCTCTGGAGATTTCCCTCTGTGTCCCTTTGGTGGAGATTGTGCCTTATGGCCTGTTAAGCTAGTCATGGTGCAAGGAGAGGCTTTCATAATGGTTCATGCAGGGTTTCCTGATGAGCTGGGACAGCCTACTGTTGCTGCAAACAAGGATGGAGACCAGCTGGGGTTGCTAGGGTTAGGAAAGAAGTGGGGTGACTTGACTATAAAGTCTCTCCTCTATCTTGGTGGTCCCCACCCTGGCCTGGTGTGAATGGCTAAAGCCATCTGGGTGGTGGCTGTCTTTAAGGGTCACTGGTGGAGGGGGCATGACCCCTTAGAAGATTTTCTGGTTTTTGGTGTTGGCTAACTGGCCATGCTCCTGTAGTAAAGCCCCCAGTATCTCCCTCCTCTCTGAATCGGCCAGAAAACCACAGACAGCCTCCATTTCTGTACAATGGACTCGCTGTTCTAACCTGAGGTTAGTTTGGCGTCAGTGACAAGGACTGGTGCCCATGTCTGCTCTTACCCTGCCCATCCACACTGCGCTGTGGAGAGATGTTCCTGTAGGACTTCTTGCCTGAAACCAGGGTGCCCAGGTAGAGATGGGCTCCTTGGTATGACATTTGAGGTCTTTTGTGATTGGTCCCATCCCCTTTTCCTGACATTCTCCTGTGCTTCAACTGTCCCAGCAGTGGGGCACCTCCTGCCCTCCCCCACCCCACCACAGGTCCAAGCTGGACCTTGCTTGCTTCCTGTGGTTTTCTGGTGGGTCATCCCTCCCTGCCCTCCCTGGGATGCTCAGTAATTCCTGGGCACAGGAACTCCTTCAGAGAAATCTACATTGGATTGCAACATGAAGAGCAACAAAAGTGATCTTTCATTAGTACATTTTTATTTTGCAAGGTCAAATTGAAAGCATTTGCTCATTATAAAGTCAATTTGGTGAGAACAGTGGCACTTTGTTGGTGGGCATAGGCAGGACCCAGGTGTACTGACAGCTGCCATCTCTTGCCAGCCTTAGCCTCCAGATCATTTCCCTGCTATGTTCTGTGCTCAGTGTCTAGAAATCCTGCCTTGCAAAGACATGAACTGGCAAACAGTCGAAGTTTTTTAAGAGTGGTCCATGACATACATGTCCCCCCATGAAGAAACGAAAACAGGAGCGGTAGGAGTCCAAAGGTGAATCTCTGACAATATCCGACAGCAGGAGGGTAGAGATATCTTGTTTTTAATTACAAATATGAAAGTCAGACAAGAAGCACGCTTAAAACAGATGCTGATGCTTATTTATCTGCACACCACCTGGAGGAGCTGAGCGGCCGAGTCTGGGAAATTAAGAACTATCTCAAATGAAATGCACAGCTCCTCTCCATCCCACGAGAGTCCACTCAAGCAGTGGGTTGTTGTGGGCACTATGCTTTGGACAACGCAGATTACAGTGATAATGATACTAGAAATAATGGCAGCTAAAGCCTGTTTAGTATTTTAGTATCTGACCGGCACTTTGCTCAGCATTCTCTCACTCAGTCCTCATACCAGCTCTAAAAATGATTTTTCTTCCCTTTCTGCATATGGAGAAAATAGGCTTTGGAAAGGTTGCCTGGCCCAAGATCACATAGTTAGCTAATTAGGAACCCTGGCACTAGAGCCTCGATCTTGAACCCAATGCATCTAGAAGATGTATCACTGTAGGTTCCAAGTAGCACAACTGCAAAGTGACAGACACAGCCCTTGACTTTAGGAAGTCTGGCCTACCTGGGGACGACCCGCACTGGGTCTAAGTGGGGATCCTCTTCATGGTGGCAGAAGCAGGTTTCCATCTGGCTCCAGCTTCCATAGACCTGCCTCATCTGCCTGGTTTAACAGCTGGGACCTGGGAGGATGCACTGACGGACATCACGGTCACATAGCTCTGCATCAGAGAAGAGCTATCTCAATCTAGCATTGTCTCCCTCTGGGAAAGTTCTAGGGAATTTACTGACCATTCCTGTTTAAAAAAGAGCCCTGTGCAATGGGAAACTCTGGAGAAGTTTTTGAGGAACAGCTACCAAAATGCAGTCTTTGAATCCACTGTGCTTCCAGAGGTTTGGATGGCAAGTAAAATAGATGGATTCCTCGTGTGTCATTTAAATGTCAACTCCACAATATATTCTGGGAGTGGCTGTTTTCTGATCATGCTCAACTGTGAGCTGAAGCAGGCAGCTCCATCTCTAGTTCCAATCTTGGGGAAGATATTACAAAGGTTGGGTAAGACGGCAGGCAGCAGGCAGCCCAGAGGATGGACCTCCTCTCTCCTCCACTCCAGAGCCTGGTCTATCCATGGCTTAGGCCAGTTGCATGCAGCCAGGGCCAATTTGCAGGAGGTCATGTGTGCTTAAGGGCAGCTTGGATAAGTCTAGTCCAGGACACTCACAGAGTGGGCCAGGACAGCAGAGCTCCCCATCCCTGTCCCTGACCTGGCTGAGGGTGCAGTTTCTTTGCTCACTGTGGTCGAGCTTGAGTGCCTGGGCTGTTTGGAACTTGCAGTCCACTGCTAGCCCCATTTTGGGCAATGCCACTGAAGTAGAAGAGTGTTCTACACCAGAATAGAAAGTCTCTGTAAGACTGAAACTGGAACAGAACACAAAGAGAAATCTTCTTTTAACTTCAGAAGATGTTGAGATGATTCCCCTGCTTGGAGACCAGGTCCAAAGTCCTTGGTTTTCCAAGTGTTGATCACTTATCTACAACCTCTTTTTCCAGCCTTAGAAGCAGAGCCTATAGCCCAGGCAATCAGACCCAGCTTTAGGCCGTTGCTCAGCTGTCTCTGTGATGTCCCCCATGAGCTGCACCCATGGGACTGCTTCTTCCTCACCTCACCATTCAAGGCCCCAGTAAAAGGCCTATTCCTTGGCAATGTTGTCCTTGAGTCCCCAGCAGCGTGAGGTCCCTCCATCTCTTCATTCCTATGATACTACTCACCTTGTGTGCTCCCTGTGTTGTTGCCACATTTGACCTTGTAATGTCTGGTCCATCCCAGCCAACTGGAGGTCCCTGAGCACAGACTCTGCACACTCCCTATCATAGCACCCAGCATACACTGCTTCGCACATGGGTTGCTAAGTATGCCACACACACGTTTGGGGTGACTGGCTGGTGCCTATGGGCTCTCTCCATCCCTAATGCCTCCTGTGCAAACATAGCAGGAGGTCCTACAGTGAACACTGACTTCAGTGCTCACTGCCTTCTTCCACCAGATCTGAAGGTGGGGGGATGAGGTCTCGGGGGTTCATCCTGGCCACCAGGCAGACATCATAACTGTCATGCATGAGGACATTGATGGCTACAACATTCCATTGGTTTTCCCATGGGTCCAGCTCCAATATTTCTTTGGAGATAACTTCATGTCTATCTGAAAAATAGCAAAGTAGGAAGACAAAATATAGGGGTATGAAATTCAGAGGTCATCTTCACTCTATTAAACAACTTCCTCTAAAAGGCATTGGGAACCAAAAATTGAACAAACAACAGAATAAGCATACTTTAAATGGAAGACACAATGTCTCTGACATTTAAAAAACTAAAAAAGGCCATCTTATAACTCACATTAAAAATTATTTGAATAATTGACATGCCAACAGAGCACACTATTGTCTAAATTTAATAATTTATTAATGTTGGGAGCTAGGGATGAAACTGTCCTTATTTTTACAACTAGAGAGGATATACAGCTTGTGACCTTGTATTAGTTGCTGACCTCCCTGAGCTTATAATTCCATAAAGGCAGACAGGGATGCTAATACTCAACCAGGGTATTCCTTGCAGGAAACAGATGGCACACCCTAAGTGGGTGATTTTGAGAGAATTTAGTGAAGGGACTGTTGGAAAGGTGTCAGCAGGGTTCAGGAAGACCCACTAAGAATAGCAAGGGCCATTACCACCCGTAGACCTGAGAGGCTGCAAAGGGAGGAATGGGTACTAGACTTGGAGAAGGCCAATGTCTGGAGTGTACAGCCTGACAGGAGCAGATGTAGGTGGGGAAGATGGAGCAGCTATCCTCAGCAACCCCACAGGGAGGGGGTGGGGACAGCAAATGCCCTGACTTTACCCTCCTTTCACTTAACAATCTCTGCTCTTGCCTCCCACTGGCTGACCACAACCAGAAGCTGGAGGAAAAAGGCATCTGTGAATGCACACAGTATATATGTCAGCTTCTCGGTTGTTGGTGCAATGTTCTATGCGTTCATTAGGTCATGTTAGCCAACACTTCTGTGTATTTACTGACTTGTGTGCTTGTTCTTCCAGTTACTGAGAGAGCTGTGTTAAAATATCCCTTTAAAATTGTGGATTTATCTGTTTCTCCTTTTAGTACTGTCATTTTTTACTGTATGCATTTTGAATCTGTTATTAAGTACATATAAATTTACCATTTATAAATTATCATTATGAGTGATCCTTGTACTCTAGAATAAGTTCCATTAGCATTCTTTTGACTGATATTATACATACTAAAAAGTAGGATTTTAAAAACCATTCTAATGATCTTTGTCTTTTAATTGGAGCATTTAGTCCATTTACATTTAATGCAATTACTTATCAGTATTTTAGTTTAAATTCCCTCATTTCTGGATCGTCCTTGTCTCACTTGTTCTTTATTTCCTCCTTTAATGCTATCTTTTGGATTGGCTAGGTACTTTTTATTGCTCTATTTCCTTCTCTCTACTGGTTTAGAAGTTATAAACTCCGTTTCTGTTTTTTTTTTTTTTTTGTGGTTATCCTAAAAAGTAAAACATGTATACTTAGCTTATCAAGACCTAAAGATAATCAATACTTGACCTTCTTGGAGGGCTTTAGAACAATTATATTTACTATCCTCCTAATTTATTAGCTACTGTTGATGTGTATTTTATTTGTTTTTTAGATTTATTTATTCATTTATTCATTCATTCATGAGAGAGAGAGACAGAGAGAGAGAGAGAGAGAGAGAGAGAGAGGGAGGCAGAGACACAAGAAGAGGGGGAAGCAGGCTCCATGCAGGGAGCCTGACGTGGGACTTGATCCCGGGTCTCCTGGATCACGTCCTGGGCTGAAGGCAGCGCTAAACTGCTGAGCAACCCGGGCTGCCCGATGTGTATTTTAATTCTATGTAACTTTTCACTCTGCAAGACATTATCATTATTGTCTTACACAGTAAATGCTTACTTAGAATTAACCCACATATTTACACTTTCATTGCTCTTCATTATATCTTGCATCTTAGACTTTTCATCTGAGATACTTTTCCTTGTGCCTCAAGTATATATGTTAGAGGAGGTCTACCATGAACTCTTTCAGATATTGTTTCCCTGAAGATGTCTTTTTTCTCCTGCATTTTCTGACAGAATTTTCACTTCCCAAACATCATAAAATACTAAGAGCTGATATTCATTCTATGCTTACTGTGTACTATGCTTAATGTGCTGACTGCATTTGAAGCATTATGTTGTATCATCTGCATAATAAGGTGAGCAGGTACTATTGTTTTTCTGGTTTTATGGGTTAGGAAAAATTTACAGCAATTAAATGCTATGCCTACAGGCATACAGTTAGAAGTGGCAGAACCAGAATATGCACCCAAATATGTGGTTCTTAAGACCTGTGCTCATAACTACTAGGCTGTTGGATGAAGGAGGACATCATGGTATTACTGTATTTTCCACAGCTTATTGAGGACACCAATAAGTGGGGCCTGAATCTTATACAAATTTGATGGTCCTCTTTAAGGAAAATATCACAAAATTACAAACACAAAATTAGGTATGAAAGTGAATATATACTTTTTTCCAGCTTTACTGAGGTTGATTGACAAAATTGTATATGTTTAAGATATGCATTGTGAAATGAATACCATAATCAACACCCTGATGTTTCTAGCAGCAATGTCCACAATAGCCAAACTGTAGAAGGAGCCTCGGTGTCCATCGAAAGATGAATGGATAAAGAAGATGTGGTTTATGTGTACAATGGAATATTCCTCAGCCATCAGAAACGACAAATACCCACCATTTGCTTCAACGTGGATGGAACTGGAGGGTATTATGCTGAGGGAAGTAAGTCAATCGGAGAAGGACAAAAGTGTATGTTCTCATTCATTTGGGGAATATAAATAATAGTGAAAGGGAATATAAGGGAAGGGAGAAGAAATGTGTGGGAAATATCAGAAAGGGAGACAGAACATAAAGACTCCTAACTCTGGGAAACAAACTAGGGGTGGTGGAAGGGGAGGAGGGCGGGGGGTGGGGGTGAATGGGTGACGGGCACTGAGGGGGGCACTTGACGGGATGAGCACTGGGTGTTATTCTGTATGTTGGTAAACTGAACACCAATAAAAAATAAATTTATTATATAAAAAAGAATACCACAATCAAGCTAATTAACACATCCATAACCCCATAGAGTTACCTTTGTGTGTATGTGTGTGTGTGTGTGTGCACGCATGTTGAGAGCACTGAAGCAAATTTCAAGCATACAATACAGGATTGTTAACTATAGTCACCATGCTATGCATTATGCATTAGATTTTCAGAACTTACTCAGAACTTACAAACTTAAAGTTTGTAGCCTTTGACTACCATCACTATTCCCTCTACCCCAAGCCCTGGCAACCACTATTCCACACTCCACATCTGTAAATTTGAGTATTTTAGATTCCACATATAAGTGATGTGGTATAATATTTGGGATTTTTTTTGTGTCCAGATTATTTCATTTAGCATAATGTCCTCCAGGTTCATCCTTCTTGTGGAAAATAGCAGGATTTCTTTTTCATGGTTGAATAATATTTCCTTGTATGTGGACAGCCTGGGTGACTCAGCGGTTTAGCGCCGCCTTCAGCCCAGGGCGTGATCCTGGGGACCCGGGATCAAGTCCTGTGTCGGGCTCCCTGCATGGAGTCTGCTTCTCCCTCTGCCTGTGTCTCTGCCTCCCTCTCCCCCCCCCTCTGTGTGTGTGTCTCTCATGAATAAATAAATAAAATCTTTAAAAAAATTTTCCTTGTGTGTATATCACATTTTATTTACACCAACTCTGTCCAATAGAACTTTCTGTGATAAAGGAAATGTTAATGGTAATCCATGCTGTCCAATACAGCAACCATTAGGCACGTGGTATTGAGTAATTTGAAATATAGCTAGTGAGATTGAGGAACTGATTTTGAACTTTTATTTAATTATAATTAGCTTAAATTAACATAGCTCTAAATCTCTTTATGTTTTTAAAAAATATCTATTTGATCTGTCAGTTTCTGAGAAAGATAACTTAAAGTCCACGTAATTTTTGTGGATTTATCTACTTACCTTATGTAAAAGTTTCTGTTTTATATATTTCAAAGTTATGAAATGCAAAAGGGTCATTATTAGGGTTCTTGGTAGCAACAGCAGAAACCAATTTTGGCCAGCTTTAGCAAAATGGGGATTTATTGGAAGGAAGGTAGCTCAACAAATTGAGGAGAGCTGGAGGTTTGTCACGAGGCCCTGTCAGGGCAGAGCACTACCACCGCTCCTTCATAGGGTTGGCTGCTGTGGCTGTGGGCACTATTGCAGGAAAGGTGGCCGGTGCCTAAACCATGACAGGTGTCCAGTACAGCTGTTCCATCTTCTTGTTACTCCTATTGAGACGAAATAGCCTTTTCTGTCTTATTTACTGCCATTGTCTTGGAATGCGTCTTTTCCCATTGCCATACCTAGCTTACTGTTTCTGTTTTGCTTTGTTTTAGCTGGATGAAGGCTTCCAGTGTCCTTACTCAAATTAATGCAGGCTGGGGCCTTTTATAATTGCAGAGTGGACAGTTCTCTTCACTAACTTTGCTTCCTTCTGCTCATTTCAGTGTTTATTGAGGAGATATTATTTTATTTTATTTTAAAGATTTTATTTATTCATTCATGAGAGATACACAGAGAGAAAGGCAGAGACACAGGCAGAGGGAGAAACAGGCTCCATGCAGGGAGCCCGACGTGGGACTCGATCCCCGGTCTCCAGGATCACACCCCGGGCTGCAGGCGGCGCTAAACCGCTGCGCCACCAGGGCTGCCTGAGGAGATATTATTTTAAAGATTTATTTATTTGAGAGACAGAGAGAGAGAGAGAGAATGGAGGGGGGAGGGGTAGAGAGAGAGAGGGAGAGAGAGAGAATCCTCAAGCAGACTGCCTGCCCAGTATAGAGCCTGATGTAGGATTCAATCCTAGGACCCCAAGTTCAATATCTGAGTTGAAACCAAGATGCTTAACCAATTGTGTCACTCAGGTGCCCCTGGGAGATAGTTTTTTAAAAAACCAAGTATGCATATTACCATCTTTTCTATAAATCTCTTACTTTATTTATGTGGAAGGAAAACAACTGCATTAGTGGCAAAGAAGTGTAGAAGATAACCAGCA